ATTTTTTTTGAAGCGAGGACACAAAACAGTCTCAAATCAAAGAGTAGAAGCTTGTATTGTAGCAAATTCTCTGGCCATACCTGCAAATTTTTTTGTTAAGGTGAGGCTGGAATCAACACAAATATCCATGAACGTAATGCTTCTGTCAATTTCTCCATTCTTGTGGATGAATATTCTGTGCAAGATGGATTTTACACGGTCACGTTTCGTACACCAGATTCAAGTAACGGAGGAATCCAGGTATCACATTGTCTTATTACATCCCTAAACTATCATGTAATTAAAGACTGCTATCGTTGTAGTTTTTTTGATTTCTGAGAAGAGTTTGATGCTTTAGAATTATTAGAAAATTATGAAAGAGCCAAAAAATGCATAAAAATCAAACGATATATCCACCTCCAAAACATTGCTTTTTTTTTGCTAAATGACAGCAAGCTTGCGCAAAACTACGTTTGATGAAAGTGAATAATTGTTATTCCAAAGCTCAAAAATATAACACGAATCGCGCTCACGATGTTATTTACAGGAGTGACCATTTGATACTCGAAAAACAACATACTCGCTTTTTTTGTGAGCGAGTTTGTTGGTTATACCACAGCAATTTCTTCTTTATTTTGATAAGAGTAAAGAAATTCAAACAGAATTTTGAACAAAATGCAGTTACAAATTTTTTTGTTCTTTACATTGCTTTGTTTATCTTTCAACACTTTTTGTAAGCGTACAACTTCAGTCAGAATTTAGAGTAGAACATATGGCTATATGGAAACTATTAAGATTCGACTACTAAGCTACCCTTAAAGCGCAAAAAGGGTATTATCCTAGTAGCTGAATGAAAATCCCGAACTTCGGTAATTTTGATTGACTTACTTTGAATACAACTTGATTTTTATATGACATGTACACATTTTTAAGGAGCACTTCATGCTTTTTCTAACTCTGCATTGGTCCCATTGCAGATAATTTATGACAGGTTTTATAGATTGAATTTGCGCACAGAAGAGACAAGTTCGAGTAGTTTTTTTTGCAAATTGGCTATTAGAGAAAAATGAAGCATTAATTGTTATTTGTTCGGTTCCTAATCACTAACTAATAGTTCAATTTGTTTACAGACACCGCAAGTATATCCTTCATTCTGGTATCAAGACAACACGAATGCGAGGTTGGTGCATCAGGTATGCGAAGAAGTTAATAATGTTGCTTATGCCTTTTTCCAAGGCAATCGTTTATATTTGAATATGAGCCCAGATTTTAATAATTTTGCTTTTCTAATTCTTGGAAGCATATTGCAAATTTTGTTTCGTACATTGAATAAAATGGTACTGTTATTTGCAACTCAACTAATCTGGTCTCAACGTCTAAGCTCAAAACAATTTGTATAACAGCTACGACATTACAAAATCTACACTGCGTTACTACGCCAAGTCCCAACTTTCCTCACTTGTTTCCTCTTCAGTCCTCTATATTAGGCACTTTATAGCAGTAATTGTGTGCTGAGCGAGAAAGAAAGTTTTCCAGGTCGATTTGGACACTGTGATTTATAGCTATAATGAATATTCTTTCTGGGTAAAGTACAAGAATGGCAATATCTCTGTAAGTTTCTGAATACTGTACATTTGAGTGAGCACATGTTACATTGTACTCCATTAGCATTGTGACTTCGATGTATCCACGAATTACACCAGCTATATCAACCAACTAGGATTGACGCGACTTCAACGGCAACATTCAGCAATTGTTTGTGACTTGCTTGCTGAACAAAGCAATAAAGGAAGAGAAATTTTCCATATTTAGGAACAAACTCATCACCACAAGGAAGTGTTTGTTTATGATGGTGATCCAGACAATGTTATTTTACAAGGATCGGATCAAAGTGCATTTCTTGTTACAGCCTATGCTGACGCCGAGACTGGTCAGTTTCAAGTTCAGTTCCAACACCTCAGGATTCACTTTTAGTGGATATTTCAATATCAGTGTTGTTAGTAGCATATCATCAACAGAATACCATATTTGCGAAACATAAAGTAAGTCCACGGCAAAAGCCGACTGTTGCACGGATTCACATAGAAAATTTCCGTTTGAGGCACATTTGGCTTCAAAACTTTGGAGATACAATGCCTCTTATGACTTTTGCAAAAAACCTAGTTTCGCAT